TCTGTCTCGTCCTCCAGGCTAAGAGCTCTCTATTCTCAGCAATGTGCCAGGCACAGTGTGGTCCCCCAATAAATGTGTGCTAGGTGAAGGGAAAAAGCAAGAAAGAAATGAAGGAAGGGAGGGTTGGAGGAATGGAGATAAGGAGAGAGGGAGGGAGGAAGAAAGTCTATCTCCTCCTACTAGACTGTGTCTTATTCATCTTGGGATCTGCAGAACTTAGCACAGAAACGAAAACATAAGAGGCGGCTGATAAATGTTATGTGAATGAATGAATAAATGGCAAAGAAGGAGAGGAGGAAGGAGAGATGCAGGGTGGGAGGGATGGAGGAATTGTCTCTGTGGAGGAAGGGATCTCTTCACCTCCTTGAGGGCAGGAATCAGGTCTTTCTCATCTCTGTAGGTCAGGGCTCATGTGAATAAACGGAACCATCAAGAGAGAGCTGTATGTGGTGCCCGGTTTCCCGGCAGAGTTGCTACAGTAGGAGGGGGAACTCCTTCTTCAGATCAGACCCAGATCTGAGTCCCAGTGGGACCGGCAGCTGGAGGTTGCGTTCCATCAGAGGGAAACTCAAACTCAACCAGAATATGCAGGGAAGGGCCAAAGGCATAATCCCTCTTTCTGAGTGCAGCTCAGATGTGGGAGCATCCTTCGGAGACCATCCAGTCCACTCCTTCATTCTCGGGGACGCTGAGACTCAGAGAGGGGGACTGACTTGCTGGAGCCATACAGAGAGTGAGTGGCCCAGGTCCCAACTCCCAGGCCAGAAGCAGAAACACAAGGTTGTGCCAAGGAACAAGAAACTCACGTCCAACTCCAGGAAACAAACAGAAGTATGTTCACCCCCCAGGGCCCCCTTCTCCCAGGGTGCCCCTTCCCCCACTGGTGCATGGATTTGGATGTGGTGGTGACAGTAACTGCCTCTCCCATGGACTTTTCCTAAGGAAACTGTCCCCACCCTCCAACCCCATAGACTTTGGTGAAGAGACAGTCGTAAACAGCCATACTTGTCTGGTGACCTCCATAGCCCATTCCCAACACAGGACCATAGGTCAGGGCATAATGGCAGCTGGTCAGTGACCTACGATATGGAACGAAAAGATGAGCTGGGCCAAGAGGAAGAACAGCGAAGCATCAGGAGGGAAGGCAGAGAGGAGATGAAGCTCAAAGGGAACAGGGAAACCACAACGGGCCAGAAAACAAATGACGGAGAGGTTATGAGGAGTAGGAACTTCACGGCGGCAGACGCTGCGATGTGGAGAACAGATGAGAGTCGAGGATGACGATCCAGTCAACGGTAACAGCGCAGACCCAGAAAGAATGGCTGAGTCACAGGCCTGATGGAGGACCAGAACAATGATCCACCGTCTCGCTGTGGGTCCAAGGAGCTGGCCTGAGAGTAAGACTGTCCTCCATGTCTAGTTTCCTGAGGCCCAGCTCCTAAACTGTGATTTCCCTTTCTCTTATTGCCCCACGGCCATCCTTTCAACAGATAACTCCTTTTGCTGAGCTAGCCTAATGGGTCTCTGTTCCTTGCAACCAACTGGAAAGAGCAAGCCAGCACGCAGCCACTTCAAACAGCTTCACTGCAGCAGGCAGACCTCCAGCCTCGGAGACCATTGCCAATGGGACTTTTGATGCCTTGATGTGGAAGCACAGGGCTTGCAGACTGGTCCCCTGAGGAGCTGGCAGATGCTGCTGCCCCTGCTGCTGCTTCATCCTCCTCCACCTCCCCCTCCTCCTCCACCTCCCCCTCCTCCTCCATCTCTTCCACCTCCCCCTCCTCCTCCAGCTCCTCTTTCTTCTTCTTCTTTCTTCCCTTTCCTCTTTCTTCCTCCTATTCCTCTTTCTCTTCCTCTCTCTTCCTCTTTCCCCTCCTCTACCTCCTCCTCCATCCTCTTTCTTCCTCCTACTCCTCCTTTTGTTCCTCGTCCTCCTCCTCATTCTCTGCCTTCTTCATCAAGCTATTTGATGCCCTGAGTACCAATGATACACTAAATCCTTTACCTGTATCACTGTATCTAATCCTCTCCACAAGCCCAATAGCATCTACTATTAGACTGCCCATTTTACAGAGGGGAAAGCAAGGCAGAGAGATCTTGCTCTGGTCACATGGCAAGTGAAGGAACTGAGTGTCAAGCCCAGGCCTCTGACTCCAAAAGGCACACCCTAACCGTTCTGCTGGGTGGAAAAGCTGGGCTTCTGTGAACCTGCACTGACTGAGCTAGAGAGGAGAGGAGACAGAGAGCAATGAAAAGGAAATCTTCAGACCAAATTGGCTCTGAAATCTATTGCACTAACCACATCATTGCCTGACAAAAAGAATCTGTGTGAAGCCAGTGAGAAGAGAAAGGGGAAAAAATAACCCAGCTCTGTGTTAGATCCTGTCCACCTTCATGTCACAGCCACTTTCTAAACAGAGGTTAATTTATTTCTCTTATCAAATTCTCCTGCTGCTAGACAAGCAGAACAATGTCACAGTCACTGATCGATCTGACCCGTGTTCCTGTCCCATCTGACACCAAGAGGCTCGTTGTGCCTGTAAAGATCTCGAGATGGCTCTGAGCAACTCGCCCCTCAGGACGTCACAAAGGGAGGGATGGATTATAGGTATGCACGGTTACTTCCCAGGAGCCTCACCCTTCAAGCTCCCCAAGTCCCCCCCAGAGGCGGGGATCCCCTCTCCTAGACACCTATATCTTTTGCAAATAACAAAGGAAAACTGGACCCAGCCTGACATTTTGATTGGAAACCCAAGATTTAAGCTGATAATAGCAGCTAGAGTTTCCTGGACACTTACCATGTGCCAGGAACTACCTTAAGTGCTTTCGTGTTGGTTATTTCATCACCACAGCTCTGAGGTGGTGCTCTTATTACCCACCATGGATATTTTAAAACATGGCCACAAATTCCTCACACTCTTCACATTGATAGGTGGGGTCCACACCTCCTCCTCTTGAATCCGAGTAGGCTCATGACTGCTTCCATCAGTAGAGTATAGGAGACTGACACTGCCAATGCTTGGCTAGCGACAAGCCAAGACAATGGATGGGCGTTTGCAACCTAATGTTATAAAACACGCAGCTTCCACTTTGTTTGCTAAGACAGTTGCTCTTCAAGCCCTGAGCTGCCATGTACGAAGCCCAGCTACACTGAAGCAGCCATATTGTGAGGAAGCCCAAGCCACAGGGCAAGTCCACATGTCGACATTCCCACTGAGTCTGCTCGCCCAGCCTTTGACGCGTCCCAGCCCAGGCACCAGACCTGTGAGTGAAGGAGCCGCCAGATCAGGAGTTGGCAAACTTTTCTTGAAATGGCTAGACAGTAAATATTTTAGGCTTTGTGAGCCAAGTGGTCGCTGTTATAACTACTCAACTATGCTGCTGTAGCATGAAAGCAGCCGCAGACAACATGCACGTGGCTTGTTCCAATATAATTTTATTCATAAAAACAGGTGGTGGACTGAATTTGGCCTTAAGCCATAGTTTGCTATTCCTTGTTCTAGAAGATTCCACCCCCAGCTGTGTGAGTTTTCCCAGTTGAATCCCTGGATATCACGGAGCAGACACAACCCATCCCCACTGTACCCCTTCCTAATTCCTGACCCACAGACGCCAGGAGATAATTCAAGGGTGATGGTTGGGCACCACGAAGTTTGAGCGGCTGGTTTGTGCAGCAGTGGCTAACTGGAACACACCCATTTCACATACAGGAAAATCGAGGCTCAGAGAGATTAAGTCACTTGCCCAGACTCTCACACTAGGAAAGGAAGGAAGCCAAGGCTGGCTGCCAGGTTTGCCTGACTTGAGAGGCCAAGCTCTCAACTGCCGAGCTGCTGCCACAAGGAGCCAGATGGTGAATGACTGAGATGTAGTAGTAAAAACGGTGGGGGAAGCATGAGAGAGAAAGAACATATGGGCTTTCGTCGGGAGGCATGTGAAGAGAGGTCAGGGAGGGAGGGAGGGACCAAATTATGCGGGCTGCAGCAAGGGGTTTGTCTTCTAAAGGCAATAGAAAGGCACTGGATGGTATTTAAGCAGAGGGGGACGCGATTTAAATTACATTCGTTGAGAATCCCTCTGGCTGCTGTGTGGAGAATGAATTGGGGAGGGGGCAATGCCCTCCAGCCTTGCTCAAAGAAGTGAGTCTGTGCCTTGCCCGTGGGAGGTCACATGGCCATCAGGATGCTCACCTGGGTCCTGAACACAGGTTGGTGACTTCCCACATGCTTGGGTTGATCTGCACTTTATCCACCTTCAACACAATGCATCGAAGCATTGTGGGGCTTGAGAAATCACCTGTTGGCATGTCAACCTTTGCCTCCTACGGTGAGGCTGCAAAGTGTCCCTGGGACAGCTTTGGGGCAGTCTGACCAACAGAGCACACAAAGGATGTGAAAATCCTGCTGGAAATTTCCATGCCGTGTTGTAAAAAAAGGATGCACAGAGAGGCCCATTGCTGACCACTGTCTGAGGACCAGCTGAAGCCAAGCACACTGGCTGTGGCTCAGAGCCCAGGGCCCCACACGCATCCATGTACCCAGCCTCTAGCAGGAGCTCAGAAATACACTCTGGTCCTCTGGTAGTTTGATGCAACGGACGTGTCAGAAAGCCTAGAACCATCTGCAAAGCTTATCCTGCAAAGGGTGAAACATCTCACAAAGGAAAGGTGGTGGGATCTGGGCCACTAAGGAACCCCCCCATGGCTCTCCCGTTATCCCTACCACGCCCTCCTTGACACACTCATTCATTCTCATTCCACCGGCCCTCTCTCTACATTAGACAGACTTCTGGCACATTTGCTCTCCAATGATGGCTCGATTCCCCGCAAGCTTTACTAGACACAAGCCACACAGAACAGGGAGAGCCCAGGCGGGCTGGGAGGTGAGGGCAATGCTCCCAGATGAATCCACGAAGTCCTGCTCGAGCCCCTTCCTCCCTCCTGCCCCGTCCCCGGCAGCAGCAGCCCCCACATGCCCCGACCCAGGGGGTCCCAGCCTCACCTTGTTGATTTTGTTGGTTTTGGGGAGCGTCTGACTGATGTGCAAGTCCGAATAGCGGGGCGGCTTCCGCAGAGGGTTGTTGATGTCACATGGGACGGACTCTGTCCGGACTAACCTTGCTGGATCCGTAGGGGTAAAAACAGCGATTTGGGAGTTTAAGTATCACTTTGTATGTTACGCCAGCAGAGTCTAGCTCATATCCTGCCTGGAAGGCCCACCCCCAGGGGGACTAGAAGAGAATTCACTAAAAATGATAGTCATTATGTCACCGTAGTGGGATTAGATGTTCTTGATGGTTTCTAAAATGTTTGTGTTCTCAATATATTACTTTATTTTTTTTTTTTGAGGAAGATTAGCCCTGAGCTAATTGCTGCCAATCCTCCTCTTTTTGCTGAGGAAGACTGGCCCTGAGCTAACATCCATGCCCATCTTCCTCTACTTTATATGTGGGACGCCTACCAGAGCATGGTGTGCCAAGCGGTGCCATGTCCGCACCCGGGATCCAAACCGGCGAACCCCGGGCCACAGAAGTGTAACGTGCGCCCTTAACCACTGTACCACCAGGCCAGCCCCTCAATATATGACTTTTGACAATTAACAATTATAATAATAAAACTGAAGCCATCAGGGTTTTTTTCCCGATACCATAACTGTTTCACGGTGGCGTTCATTTCAGAATTGACCCTCCTTTGAAACACAAAAGGTTCCTGATTTTCCAGGGTCTGTCATCAATCAGTGGACAGCCACCCCTGCCTGCCCACATCTGACTTTCCTGTTGGGATCATCTTTCGTTACATGTGGGATTTCTCAGTCCTGAGTAGCCTGTTGCGTGTCGAAACACATTTGTCCTAAACAAGGCCACCCAGACCCCTGAAAGGAAGGCTTAGCTCTTCCAGCCTCCTCCACAGCATCATCCTAACAGCCACACAAAAAGCTGGGCACACAGTTGACACTAAATAAATGCTCCCTGATCCAAACCACATCCAAGCCCCTCTCCTGTTACCTCTGCTATTTCTACTTACAGGGACCTCAGGGAGGGACAACAGTGAGAAGCTCAGATTCCAATCTGATGCCTGGTAGTGTTACTTGTTAGCTGTTTTTTATTGCAGGGGTGGGATGGGGGTGTTGGTGGAAAAGTCAAAGCTTTGGACTGACCCAGGGATTAAATTTCTCTGCTTAGCCTGAGCTGCCATCACCATGGAAACCAACTATATTTTCAACTTCCTACCTACAGGGGGAGGGAGGGAAAGCAAGAAGCTGGCGGACTTCTGGAAAGTTCCGTTTGCTTTGAAAGTACAGGCACCTGCTGCCTTTGAGCAAAGAGGGCACGGCTGTGAAGGTGGGTGGGAGGGAGTCCGTCTGCAGATGGCAGCCTCTGAGAGCGGGTCGCCTTCCAGCAGACTAGCTCTGCTCTCCCCATGGGATGTGGGCTCCAGGGGAACCCCCTACAAGAGGAATTCAGTGGGAGGCAATTTTTCCAACGAAGCTGACCCAAGACAGGCCTCAAGAGTGGTGAGAATTCAGGTTTAAAATAGTCTCACTGAGTGTATACAGTTGTTCAAGGAACAGATGGTTCTTAATTAAGGATGTGGGGTGGGAAGGGGCCAGAGAAAAGAGCTGAAGACTTTTCCCTCACAATTTCCTCGCCGCGTGGAGGTAAGGAATGCAAAGATCATGGAAAACCATGGCCCGTTGGCTTCGGAACACATCCCAACACTTTTGGCAGCAATTGCCTCCTTCTTTAAGCTTCCCTTCTTTAAGCTTCCCTTGGGTTCATGTGAACACAGGGCAAGCTCCCCTGAGCCTACACTGACCAAGGCAGGAGGGCTGGGAGGGGTGGAGTAGGAAGATGAGGAGGAATTCAGTCTCAGACTAGCAAGTTGTGTATCCCGAACAGGGCTCTAAGCCTCCATCTGAACTATAGGTTGGGGGAGGTGGGGAGGTGGCCAGCAAGAATTTTAAAAATTTTAATAAGTTGCTAACATTTTAAAGTAAGTATATGGCACATAAAACTATTCGGGCTTTTCTTTGAAACAGGAGAAATGCTGCAGCTTGGGTCCACGTTGTTGGGGAGTGGCTCTCTCTACATGGTGCCCGGACTTTCCCTCCACTTTGCACGTCCCCTTCTGGCCAGCTTCTCTCATTGAGGTCCTTGCTTGGCCCTAGGAGGCATTTAGTTCACAACTTCTACTCTAGAGCAATGCTTCTCAACTTTAAAGTACAGAAGAATCGCCTGCAGATGCTGTTAAAAATGCAGATTCTGATCCAGTAGGTCTGGAGAGGAGCCAGAAGTTGTGCATGTCTAACAGGTGCCCAGCTGATTCCAATGTTGCTGGTCCATGGACCACACTTGGATAGCAAGAGTCTGGACCAGCAATGTCCAGTAGAACTTTCCATGACGATGAAAGTGTTCTGCACCTGCACTATCCAATATGGTAGCCACGTGTGTCTACTGAGCCCTTGAAATGTGGCTGGTATCACAGAGTAATTAAATTTTTGTTTTTATTTCATTTTAGTGAATCTAAATTTAAATAGTCAGATGTGGCTAGTAGGATTGAACAGCATGGGCCTGGAGAGTCCCCCAGCAAATGAATTGGAATGTAGATAATGGAGTCTGGGAATAACTACCCCATAGGAAAAGAATCAACGGAACTATTTTGAAAGCCAGACTGTAAGGCCTCCCAAGGAAGTGCCTGCTATTGAGTCCTTGGCAGGCAAGGAAAAGCCTTTTCTTCTAGTCTTGCCTTCCTACTCAACTGATCTTGCTTTTGCATAGAAGACTGGTAGGGGCTCTCCCAAGGGTAGCTGCTACCTCCCTGCCTGGGTAGCTTGGCCCAGACACTCCCAGGGCCCCAGGGGATAGAACACAGAGGGCTGAAACCAACTGGCCCAAGCCAGACGCCCCGAACCCCTGCCCCTGCCCACTTCCGCAGGGCCACTTGACTGAGCCTGAAGAGCATATAATGGAAAAACACTCAGCCAGCACTCGTCTTAAAGGAAAAGGAAAGGGAAGGGGATTGGGGGAAAGAGAGAAGCATGGAAATTAGGAGAGAGGACAAGAATGAGAGAGAAAGACTTAAGGAGGGAGAGATGAATCTGGGGGCTAAAGGATCAGAGAGACCAGTAAAGGGGAAAGGAATAGGGAGCACAGGCGTGGGGGATGGATTAAGGAGACAGATGTCAGGAAGAAGGCATCAGAAGGAAAGAAATGAGATAGGCAAGTATCAGGAAATCAAGGGGGCATCCAGAATCGGCCGGGGTGGGACAGCTATCTCAGATGGCTGGCAGGAATCCCCACCCCACCTCTACCCCAGGGCAGCAAGTGTTAAATACTTACCTCCTCTATGGATGATCAGGAGGTGACAGGGTGGGGCTTCTTTGGTGCATTTGTTGTGGCACTTTAACCTGAGACAAAGAAAGAGAGAGAAGGATGGATGGGTGGATGGGTGGATGGATGGATGGATGGATGGATGGATAGATTGATGGACGGGAGTTGGATGGATACGTGGATGGGTAGGTGGACGAATAGCTGGATGGGTGGGTGGGTGGGTGGATGGACGGATGAATGGATGAATGGGTAGGTGGATGGATGGATGGATGAGAGGATGAATGGATACATGAGTGGATGGATGACGGATGGATGGATCAGAATGCCCCAATGGTTCAGAAAGCTCTGAGTACTATGGATGCCAAGATGTGAGATGAGGTGGGGCACTTACAGCAAAGGCATATCCTTGGCACCCAGGAAATTAACTCTAGAGAGAGTTTGCTGCCATCCCACTCTCACAGGTCAGCCCTGGTTGGTTCAAGAGTGGGTAGCAACTATCACACCAACAGGGCCCACTTGGGCTTCATGCTTTGAAAGCTATTTTCCCCTATCAATCTGTATTTAGCATCATCATCATACAATCCTAATAATCATCTACCATTTACTTGAAGACTCATTTGCCAGCCATTGTACTAAACATTTTACATAGACCACGTCATTGGATCTTTATAACAACCCTATGAAATGAGTTTTACTATCATTCCCATTTTACAAATGGAAAAACTGAGATTAAGTGACTTGTCCTGGCAGAAAACCTGGATCAGTGGTGCCAAAGGTGGGCTCATTTTTCTTAAAGGCTCAAGGCTACAGGAGACAGCCAAACAAGGCTTCCAATTAGGATGAGATTAATAACAGGTGTTAAGCTTTAGAGGCATGAAGTTTAAGAGTTTAGCATCAGGGGCCGGCTCCGTGGCCGAGTGGTTAAGTTCGCGCGCTCCGCTGCGTTGGCCCAGGGTTCAGATCCTGGGCGCGGACATGGCACCGCTTGTCAGGCCACACTGAGGCGGCGTCCCACATCCCACAACTGGAAAGACCTGCAACTAAGATATACAACTATGTACGGGGGTTTGGGGAGATAAAGCAGAAAAAAAAAAAAAAGATTGGCAAAAGTTGTTAGCTCAGGTGCCAATCTTTAAAAAAAAAAAAAGAGTTTAGCATCAAAATGTCTTCCTTTGAGACAAGTCTAAGATGTCACCTTGCGCTTCCCTACACTATTGCCAGACTTCAAAAGGGTCATAAAAATCCCAAGTTACTATGACCTGGCTTTGTCCTTTTCTTTTAGTTTTATGTCTATAGGACGGATACACACTGTGTGATGCTATCAGTGCTCCACTCATATCCCCTTGGATTCCCTTACATCAGCAGCCTAACTTCCAACAGCCAACATCTTTGCTGGAAGGCTGCCCTCGGGCTGCTTGGAGGTTTACTATTAAAAGACTCCATCCAGACAGATGGGAACTTTAGATTTGCCTTCCACCCTCTTCCCCTCCAGGGATTTGCAAGTTCTCTTTAACAGAATGGTTTGAATGCGCAGACAAAGACTCCGCTCTCACTCCCCCAACTGGTCTAGCTCCGTGGTTCTCAAAGTGGAGTCCCCAGACCAGCAGCATCAGCACCATCCAGGAACCTTTCAGAAATGCCGCTTCTGGGGCCCCAACCCAGATCGGGATAATTAGAGACTCGAGCTGAGACGCAGTAATCTGTTGCAACAAGCCCTCCAGGTGAGTCTGATGGTGCTCAGGGGTGAGAATCACAGGCCTACTTGATGTTTTTGGAATGTCTATGCACATTTCCCCAATTTTTCTTGTGTTCAGTCTTTTATGGCCCTAATAGGGCCCTGAATTCCTCTCTGATATGGAAAAGTTAGACCTGGGGCCGCTGGGAGGGCATAGGGGAAGCGAGGAGGGGCGTAGGCAGCACAAAAAATGCCAAACCACATCGAGAGAATGTTAGTCCATCTCCAAGTCTCCTTCACTCTGGTTGCACCACGGACAGAGTTTCTTGTGCTCACAGGTCTTTATAGTCTGTCTGCCACGTGCTAAGCCCAGTTCCCGATTTAGACAGGCAACAGTATCCGCAGAGAATTTAATAAATTTATTTTTCCATTGGATTTCTATTTTTTTCTGGTTGCCTTATATGAATGGCAAGTGATGCTGATTTTCTATTCATGATAATGATACACTTTCATCTTCAAATAAATGTATTTAAGTTAAAAAGGCCATAAATAGTAAATAAATACATGCAGAGCTGCTACATACATAGGACAAAATCATGACAGGCTGGGGAGCGCACTGAGCGAGATTGCGAAAAGTTGGCTTTGACAATTTGGAATCTTCAAAGAGAGGTGGCAGCTCTTGGCATCCGAAAGTTTAAGATGGTTGAACACCATTAGGAGGTACCACTAGTCATGAAGGTCATAAAGACTGTACGACTCTGAAAAAAACCAAGAGCTAATGCTTACGTGGTGTTTATGATGTACCGGACGATGCACTCAGTCCTTTATACAATTTAGTTAATCCTCGTGACAACCCGCAAAAGTAGGAACTACTGTTATCCCCATTTTATAGAATGAGAAACTGAGGCTCAGCAATTTTAGATGACTTGCCCAAGGTCAAACAGCCAGCGAGAGACAGCGGTCTTGAGTCCAGCTCTAACCACTATGCTGGATGCCTCCAAAACCTCCATTCTTCCTGCTTTCCATCTTGGGGTTGGGGGTGAATAAAGGAAGGTTCCCCGGGGTATAGAACCAGCGGAGTCAAAATGTCCTTCTGTGAGACAAGTCTAAGATGTCAGCTGGCTCTTCCCTCTACAGTTGCCTGACGTCACAGGGATAATAAAAGTTCCACATTCTGCAAACTGGCTTTGTCTTATTCTTCTCTAAGGCCCCAGACTCTCTGAGCTACAGGGAAGATCCCAGCGCCAAGGAGATGACCAAGTGTTGCATCCAGACCCTGATGCATGTGCTGAATGTGAAACTAGTCTTTTATTCTATAAGCACTTCCCCAGGCCTGCTACGCCCCAGGTCCTGGGGACACCCCTCGGACGGGGCAGATGAAGGGGTCACACATATGTAAACAAATATTGGGTAATTGCAGGTGTGGTAAGATCACGAAAAAAGTAATACAGGGAAATGGGATGGAGAGCGATGGGAGCGGGATAGGAAGGGCTTCCAGCAGTGCAAAGCTTTGGGGGCAAGAACAAGCTTGGTGGGCTCAGGGGTCAGAGGTTAAAGGTCAATGAGGCTAAAGTGAAGAGAACAAGAGCAATGAAGACACGAGGCGGGGGAGGCGGGCAGGGGCCCCTGCGGCCCCGGCAAGGATTCCGGTGGGACGGCACCAGAGGTTTTTGACAACTATGACACGGTCAGATGGATGTTTGGGGAGCCCTGAGTTGGGGAATCTGCTGATGCCAAACAAGAGTGGAACCAAGAAGTTTCTGCACTTATTCCTGTTTGAAATAGGTCAACTCCATGCTGGAAGCTTCCAGAAACTGCTCCTTTCTGCCACCCCCACCTATGAGTCTTCTTGAATGAGCCCAGCTGGAAGGTTGGCATGGGCTGTGAAGAAGCCGGATGCCATCATGGGCAGCACCACGAAGCAGGGGCACCTCCAGGTGCTGAGTGGGTGAGTGCTGGGGACATGAATGTTAGCAAGTGCACGCCACAGCAGGAAAACCACTGGACACGAAGGACATTCCATTTCCCATATGAGAGATGTCCAGGGGCTAAATTCTCCAGAGCACAGTGTTTCCCTCACCCCCCAAAAACGGGAATGGGGTCAAGGTAACATACAGAACAAATCTGGGTTCAAAGCTTGACACCACCACTTCCTGGCTGTGACCACCTGGGCAAGTCGCTGATCCACTCTGAGCCTCAGTTTCCTCATCTGTAAAGTGGGGACAATCACAGCATCTGCCTCACAGGGTTGCAGTGAGGACTAACGATTCTACGCAGGTAAGGGGCCTAGGACAAATACTTGAAGCAGCGGGCACTACTGTTTTTATGATGGTAATTATCATTACTACTGATGGTTTGGGCAGCAACTTTTTACTCCAAGACCCTCTGCTGGAGGACTTTCTCTGGCTGGAAATGTGGGCTGGCTGGAATGCCTGGAGCCCGGAGCATGGGTGGGAGCTGGTTGATTAGGACCCCAGCCTCCCCTCCCTTGGGTGGACAACCCAGAGGTGTGCGGAGGTGGGACTGGACCCAAGTTGCCCACGGCCGTAGCCTCCTCTTCGAGGCACCCCGTGCTGGCTGCCTTCCTTCCCTGTCTCCTTCCCGCACTCCCGGCTGGTGCAGCCTGGGGTCACCTCTCAAATAAACCACTTGCCCTCAAATCTTGAGGTCTGTAGAGAAAGGGAAGCCCAAGTGAGACACCATGATTATCACAGGAGGTTTGCAACACCAACGTGGCCTCGCACCAAAACCGAGCCCTCTGCTCCTTCTCCCTGTGCATCTCTTGAGCCCACAGTCCTTAATGAATTTGGTTCTGCAGGGGCTCCGTTCCACAAGGAGGAAGGGAAGGGGCGGGGGGGCAGGGGGACACAGATGACAGCCCCAGACAAACCTCCGCACCAGATGTGGGCCGGAGGAGCACCGTGATTTAGGTCAGTGTTTCTGCAGGCAGGATGAAAATACACTCGAGTGTGCACAGGGAATGCCGAGCGAGCCTCGTGCAGCCTGGAAACTTGCAAAGGAGTGATGTAAAACTTTCACTGAAAAGGGTTAATTTTCTTTTAACTTCCAAGGCTAATAGGATAAGCTTCAGTTCTCCAGAAAAGTTGCTTGCGTGGAACATCTTATTCCCCAAAGGAGCTGCTGGCTAAATGAGACATCCTCTGCGTCTGAAAATGAAATTTGTGAATTTATCTCGAGGGCAGGATCTGGGTCTTCCTCATCTTTGAAGCTCCCAGTCCTACCCCCCTTTCAGTGCTTGGCCTCGTGGCTGGTGCGTAACACATGCTGAGTGAATATTGGAAAGAGGGAGGGAGAGAGGAGGAAAGAGAGGGGACAGAAGGAATGACCGGCAGAAGAGAAACCTGTCAAAGGCTCCTGCTGTAGGGAATTAAAAGTCTCTAC